CATCATATGAAACAATGAAATATTATAATAGTAAAGGACATTTAATTGTATCATTTTAATAATAAAGTATACTTATTTAATAATAAAGTATTAATAAAGGATAATAAAGAATAAATAATAATAAAGGATATTTGTTTCATAATATCCTTTAATAAGGATAATAACGGATGTTAATAATAATATAGGATATTAATAATAATAAAGGATTTTTTTTATTTTTTTATTTTATTTTATTTTTTTCATTTATTTTTATTAGTTGGAGGCTAATTACTTTACATCATTGCAGTGGTTTTTGTCATACATTGAGATGAATTAGCCATGGATTTACATGTATTCCCCATCCCGGTCCCCCCTCCCACCTCCCTCTCCACCCGATCCCTCTGGGTCTTCCCAGTGCACCAGGCCCGAGCACTTGTCTCATGCACCCAACCTGGGCTGGTGATCTGTTTCACCCTAGATAATATACGTGTTTCGATGCTATTCTCTTGAAACATCCCACCCTCGCCTTCAATATCAATAAAGGATATTTATTGATATGAAAAGATGTCCACAGTATAGAGGAGGAAAACAGATTTTAAATTATTACATCTACCACTATATCATTTTGGGGAAAAGGAAAAGCAAGGCAGAAAATAATCACCATCCAGAGATAATGAAAGTATATATCACTTTTTCCTTCCTCTATTCTGAACTATAAGTTTAATATAGTGACAATACCTTGGTTTTAAAATAAGAAAGTAAGATTTTTTTAAAATGTGTGCAAGTTTCTTGGAAGAAAGCCCAATTGGAATGCTCAATTAAAAAATGTTAATGTATGGGCTTATATCCATTTTCAAAACCTTGCTTGGTCAAAAATTTATTCTAACACAGTGTTCAGGAAAGAGTTTGATAGTAAAAGAAAAAAAAATACTGTAAACCAGGGCAAAGTAGTGTTTACAACCAGTTATCATGGGGTCCTTGATCTTTCCCACAGTTGTTCCTACCCAGCAATATCAACCAGTATATCAACCAAAATATCTCAAATACCTATTACTCGTTATTTTTCTTTTAACCTCATAAAGGTAGGAGGGAGGATCCAGTCCTCAAGTTAATGAATGGGAATCTTGGAGGAAATGAATTTTTCTACAGTCTGGAGGAGTAACTGAGGATTTCTTTTCCCCTTGACTTGTAGTAACTGTAGATGATTACAGGTTCGTTTACAGCCTGGTGGAGTTCAAACCTCACCTTTCCAAGGGATGTGAGTTTATACATCATTTAAAGCTGTAACCAGGTGGGGAGGAGTTTCAGGGTGCAACTGTGCTGATTCCCCAGTGTGTATGCTCAGATGATTTCTAGCTGAGCCTTTGAAAAGTGAAAGACCAAGCCCAGAAAATCCACTTAGTTTCTTCTTCCTCTTGATTGGCAGTCAAATCCCCTGTACTCATCTGCTATTAATAATTCATTCATAAATGAGCTTCTTGAGGGTCTTTGACTCTCCAGGCCTAGCCAGTCAGGCACAAAGTGAGGGAAAAATTAAGTAGTTTCAGAGGTTTTTATCAAGAAGGGAAAAGGTGCCTATTTTCCCATTTTTTTGTGGTGGAAATTGAACACTTGAATAAAATAGGAGAGTGACAGAAAACTCATCTGTGTTTATTGAGCACTGCCTCAATCCTGGGAGAGCAGTCTGATTATTTCAAGACACAAAGGTTCAGAGAGGTAAAGATCACACAAGTAAGAAGTCACAGAGAGTTGAAGCTGGAAATTCATCTTAGAAGGGATATAAATGCACAAAAAAGTTATACATCCAACAGGTAAGCTAAGAAGTATTTGATATCCTATCTCTGGGAGATAACTGTGCTAGACATCGAAAATATAAACAAAAAAGAAACAGTCCTGCCTTCAGGGAGTTTATAGTGTAGGATGTTGAGGACATGGAGCTTTGCCTGGAGTAAGGGCGTCTTGGAGCAGTGTTTCAGAAAGTACCAGGCGCGGTCAGGTAAGTTTTTGTGGCCCATCTGTTCCTCGTGTGGAATTCCCTTCACTTTGGACACCTAGGCCTGAGCCTGGCAATGAGCCTTGAGACTGTCTCTTGCTATAAATAGGCACAGCTGGAATTAGGAGGGCTCCCTCTGTAGGAATATCAGAGTTCATTCTCAGAACTCCACCAGGCTTCTCTAGTTGGGAGTTTGTCTTGAGGAAGTGCTCCAAGAACAACAGCGTCTTTAATAAGGATTTTATTATTATTCTTATTACTCAGAGGCAAAGGGTCAAAGAGTGAGTTGGTGCATAACATGGCTTTGGAGTGAGATGACCTGTGCTTGAAGCCCAAGTGCTGCATTGTGTGTCACCTCGGGAAAAATGTTTTCCAGTGACTCCATTGGTATGGTAAAGCGGAATTAGAAGCACCTAACTTCCCGGGGACTTTGTAAGGGGTAAATGAGATACGTGTCTAAAGTACTTCAGCACAGCACAGAAGTCTAAGAAGCCGCCTAAAACGGCTGCCGTGATACGACAGCACCTGCCAGGACTTACCCACAAGCGGCGTGGGGCCTTGCCTGAAACCTCACTGAGCATGTCTGTGCCCCTCAAAGAGATACCTGAGAAGCCTCTAGGGTTAACTTAGGTCACTTGTAGGATGTTTACTCACACTGTGACACAGGATCAGAAAGCTACAACGTCACGTGTAACCAAAGGACTCAGGTATGGACCTGCCTGGCCATTCTTAAGACTCCACTGCAGGAGGCACGGGTTTGACCCCTGGTTGGGAAGATCCCACATGGCACGGCCAAAACCAAACCAAACCAAAGTGCTCATGTATATTTCTCGTCTTTCACCTTAGGTTTCGGAGCACTTGACCTGGGTGCTCACATGTGTCTGTCTTTGCTCTGGGCTCCCAGCCATCACTGCTGCTTGCTTGGCCTCCTATTTATTCAGAACCTCTTCTCACTGCCGTCTAAATCGCTCCTTCTGATCTAAGGGATCACCCACGCCTGGCCTACCTCTTCTTCTGTGGCCCCTCCTCCCTCCCTCTCATTATTAAAACAGCTCCTGGAAAGACCAGCCTTCCCTGCTTAACAAGAACAGGGATCTATCCCTGAGCCTATTCAGGCCCTCTGTCCCCCACGAAAAGGAAACCGGGAGCCAGGGAGCCATCTGACACAGAGAGTGGGAAGCAGCTCAGGGAGAGGAGGATTTCCAGGACAGCAGTGAGAGGCCGGCAGAGGAACAAGAGTCGGTCCAGGCACGGCTCCGAGCTGCTTCCTCAGAAGGTGAAGTGGGTAGAATACCTGAGCCTGTGGAAAGGAGGTGTGGACAACTGAAGAAAGTTGCACCTTAAGTACACTGGAAACTAAGCAAAGGGAAAATAAAAGAGGACAGTGACTCCAGAAAAAAGAAATCAGTAAATTGAGTGAAAAACAAATTACGCCTCACTGCATGGCTTAGCTCGGAATCATATTTGCATATTTATGAAATATAAAATTTGATTTTTTTATGCAACTCCAAGGATAGGTATCTTTATGTGGTGAGGGAGGGGTAGGAACTCAATAGATGAAGCTCAAAACTGTAAAAGCAAAAACAAAACTAGTGTGTTATTTAGAAACAGGTAAGTCAAATACCACAATACACAGCTGAAAGAGCACTTGCCTTAAATAGAAGAAATCGGAAGAGGTGAGCAGAGGACTGCCCTCTTTTTGCACTCGTCTTGTGGAACTATTTGACTTTTTAACTTCGTGCAAGTGTAATTGATAAAAACTCCTTGACCCCTTGAAGCTCAGTTGGTGAAAAATCTGCCTGCAGTGCAGGAGACCTGGGTTTGATTCCTGGGTTGGGAAGATCCCCTGGAGAAGTAAATGCAAACCACTCCAGTATTCTGCCTGGAGAATCACATGGACAGAGGAGCCTGGCAGTCTACAGTCCATGAGGTTGCAAGAGTTGGACACGACTCAGCAACTAAACCACCAATTGATAAAGAAATAAAACACAAAAAGGACAAATGCATAGCAACAAAGCCTGAAAAGGAACCTGAAAGGACAACACCTAGAAGGGAGGAAAATAGGTTGCAAAGTTTATGTATTTACTTTGAAAAACGTGCATGCACAAAAAGGATTTGGAAGAATATTTATCATCTTGGAATTGAGTAACTTTTCCCTCCTTTTCTATACTATTCTAAACTATTTGGAGTGGGACATGTATTAATATTATCATTGTGATCAGACAAAAAGCTATTTCAGGAAATCCCCTGATGGACCAGTGGTTAGGACTCTGCACTTTCACTGCCAAGGGCATAGGTTCAATCCCTGATCGAGGAACTAAGATCCCACAAGCCACTGTACAGCCAAGAAAAGAAAACCCAATTTCATGTTACAGAAAAGGTAAACTGTTAGAAATGTAAGAGGAAAATCATGTACAAAGATGTTCATTATAGCATTTTCATAATAGTAAGAAATCAGAACCAACATGGATGATAAATTGTGCGTATACCTAGTGAGATGTTTTACAGGTATTTTAGAGGACCTCCGTGAGCTTGTACAGTATATCATATGATTTTCACCTTTAATTATTCTGTACCCTCAGCTTAAATGCCTTTTATCCTCCTTCCGCTTCTTTGTCACTGGTTTTTCCTTAACCATGTCCTGCAAGAAGCCCCTCTAACAACTGCCACCATCGCCTACCCACCCCACTCTGCTTTCACCTCCATTCCAACAGTGTGGTATGAGTTGCTCCTATTCTTGTCTTTTCAAAATGTTCTGAACAGATACTGTATCTATACTTACTGCTTAGTATTATAATGATTTTGCCACTAAACTTAACCTTGGTAGTTGGGTATGGATCTTAAAAGTGTTATCACTTCATCACATAATAAAGGTTAGGGAGAGTAGCACTAGCCCCTCCAAGGTGTTCATGTGGGTTCAATGGGAAAATCCATGTAAACAGCTGACGTTCCATGAATGGCAAGGCTGCAGATGGGGGGATCATGCTAAGAACAGTGATAAGACCTGTATGTTTTTTTGTTTTCACAGATAGCCCCAGTGCAGGCCTCGGTGTTTGTGGATGGATTTTGGTGGCTGTATCATTCTTGTTCACGGTTATAACTTTCCCACTGTCAATATGGATGTGCATAAAGGTAAAAAAGATTTCATTCATATCTGGAAAGGGGTCAACTCATAAGTACATAAGCCAATGAAAGGTGTGTGTGTGTATGAGAGACCATACTGACCTATAGTTCTTTTCCCCTCATCTCTTGAAAAATTCACTCTAGCCACCTATTACAATGGAATTTTAAGACTGCTTTTCAGGGACTTCCTAGTGGTCCAGTGGTTAAGACTCCACCTTTCAACGCATGGGGGTGTGGGTTTGATCTCTGGTCAGAGAACTGAGGTCCCACATGCCTTGGGGTGCAGCCAAAAAGTAACTAATTTTCTTTATCTAGTCCTTCCCGTGGGTTAAAGTAGGGATCACCATCTAAAATTTTCTGGAATCAGGGATGCAGGACAATCCTGTGAGAAAAAGTCCTCCAGAGTCAGGATTCTGAGGTGTGATGCAGGCGCTACTGTTTACTGTGTGACCTTTGCCAAATTCCCTCACCTGTCAGATGGGAGGAGATGGCAACATCTGTCTTATAGGGCTGTTGTGAGGATTAAATGAATTACATACTTAACACAACACCTGGCACGTGGTTATCGTCCCACCTATGCTGGTCATTTCTTCTATAAAGTTATTCAGCTCAGTTCAGTTCAGTCGCTCAGTCCTGTCCGACTCTTTGCAACCCCATGAACTGCCGCATGCCAGGCCTCCCTGTCCATCACCAACTCCGGTAGTCCACCCAAACGCATGTCCATTGAGTCAATGATGCCATCCAACCATCTCATCCTCTCTCGTCCCCTTCTCCTCCTGCCCCCAATCCCTCCCAGCATCAGGGTCTTTTCAAATTAGTCAGCCCTTCGCATCAGGTGGCCAAAGTATTGGAGTTTCAGCTTCAACATCAGTCCTTCCAATGAACACCCAGGACTGATCTCCTTTAGGGTGGACTGGGTGGATCTCCTTGCAGTCCAAGGGACTCTCAAGAGTCTTCTCCAACACCACAGTTCAAAAGCATCAGTTCTTTGGCACTCAGCTTTCTTTATAGTCCAACTCTCACATTCATACATGACCACTGGAAAAACCATAGCCTTGACTAGACAGACCTTTGTGGGCAAAGTAATGTCTCTGCTTTTTAATATGCAGTCTAGTTTGGTCATAGCTTTCCTTCCAAGGAGCAAATGTCTTCTAATTTCATGGCTGCAATCATCACCTGCAGTGATTTTGGAGCCCAGAAAAATAAAGTCTGCCTCTGTTTCCACTGTTTCCCCATCTATTTGCCATGAAATTATTAATACTGTGATAAATGACAGTCACTTACATATTCCTAAAAAGACAAAATATGCTCTAAGAATTTTCAGATAAGTTACTATTATAATTTAAGGAACCAGAAGACAGACTATGAGGATGTTAACTTTTCTCCCCTATGTTGACAATGCATGAGTAATTGAATAATAATGTTAACAGCTGAGGAGTGAAGTTACGAATTTGCTTCTGTATAGTCTTTCTATACTATCCAGATTTTGTACAATGAGTATCTACTTCTTTTATAATCCACAGGAAAAGTAATTAATTTTTGGTTATTTTGGGAGGGGTCGTTAAACATTAACCATGTTGCCTGTAGCTGTTATCTGGTATTATAAACATCTCACCTGTTTAGAGGAGAAATATAATATTTCAAAAGCTTTGCATGTAATTACTTGTACTCCTCATGTTAAATTATGATTTGTGTTTTTAATCTAGATCATAAAAGAATATGAGAGAGCCATCATCTTTAGACTGGGTCGCATCTTACAAGGAGGAGCCAAAGGACCTGGTGAGTGCTTGCATTGTTTGTCTGGAAAGCAAAATTCATCCTTTTACTGATGTGATTTCCTTCATGAAGGTCTCTATTGACTCAGGAGACTTCTCACGGCAGAATTTGTGCAACAATAGCAGTGCAGCTTACCAGAAATTACCCTTTCCTTCCCGCCTCTCCCCTCCCCTTCCTATTTGAGTTGATAAGATTATCTTTACGCCAAGAATAGCTGCAGCTATCGAAATTTGAGCGTGAGAATCCCTACTGAAATAGATGCTTCCAGTCATTATTTTCGGCAAACTTCAGTTAAGCTCCCACTGAGTTAGAGGCTCTGAGAATTCAAGGGACAGGAAAGCAGAGTCTCTGTCCTCGAGGATCTTTCTGCCTGGTGGTGGGACACAGTGAGGAAACAGCTGACAGTTAGAATCCCGCTTGGTAAATGTTATGTCAAGAAGTCACAGATGGCTGTGGAAACCCAGAGAAGAGTGTCAACCCCAAGTGGTAGCATGCTTTCTGGAGGTGACTGCTTGGCAGGAAATGGTGAGCCCAGGAGGAGAGGTGTCCCCAGGGTCAGAACAGTGCAGAGCCGTGCAGAGAAGACCACTGCAGGCTCCGTGAACTGCAAGCAGCCCCGCGCAGCAGGGTGCAGGGTGGGAGGAGAGGGCTGGTGAGGCGGTGAGCAGGGGCAGGTTGTGCAGGGCCTGGTACGGCTTGTTTGTAGGAAACAAACTGGAAGAAACAGCAAGATGACGTAAGAAGCGATTGCATCGGTCTAAGTGAAAACAGGGATCTCCCCGGTGGTCCAGTGGTTAAGACTCCACGCTTTCACTGTAGTGGGCTCAGGTTCAATCCCTGCGGGGAACTAAGATCTCACATGCTGTGTGGGATGACCAAAAAAAAAAAAACATCGTAAGTAAAAGCAAATGGGTGACAGTAAAAGCGGAGTAAGGAAATGCAACCCACAGGTCTTGTGGGGACAGCTGGACGTGGGAAGAGAGCAGCGGGAGTCAAGGATGACACTCTGGCTTCCAGCTCATCCACCGAGAGGCACTGCTTTCTCGCGGTTAATGGGGCCGGTCCTGTTAGAACCGAAGGCACAGTGAGCTGGTGAGGGGAGATGCCGGTGTGCCTCTGACCTCAGGTGTGTCTGTTGCAGGTTTGTTTTTTATTCTGCCGTGCACCGACAGCTTCATCAAAGTGGACATGAGGACCATCTCATTTGACATCCCTCCTCAGGAGGTGAGGCTGTCTTCTGCTGTGGGTGACTGAGCTGTCATGGGCCTGGTGTGGAGAGACAGCAGGGGGCAGTGGTCACAGCACAGCTGGAGAGCCTTGCTGCCCTCAGCGTTTCTGGCTGTGTGACCTCCAGCAAGTTCTTTAACTTCTCTTTATGCCCCCATCTCCTCATCTGTAAAACAGAGGTTATAATAGCAGGACCTACTCTATAGAGTTCTTGTGAGGACTAAATGAGACGCTCTATGTAAAGTGCCTAGAGCAGAGGCTGATAAATAGTGAGTGCTATGAAAGTGCTTCTTATTATGACGAACATACCATAATGTGCCATGCTACCATTACCACTGTCGTCAGCATTCTCCCTGCCACACCTCTCTCTGGGTTTCTGATAGAACATTCTTCTTACAGTTCCTGACGGTATTCTAGATAAACTGGTTAGCAGCCAAAGGATTAGAAACTGCCCATTTGGTATTTTAGATAAGGATAAGATGTTTTATATTAGGAATCATTTCAGTCTTTTTCACAGCGCCTCGCCGTTGAAGCTCACAGCAGAATCCGAGAAAGTAGATGGTCGGAGGGAGACAGGAACTCCTGCTGACTGCGGGGGCGGGGCCAGGACTCAGTGCCAGCCCTGCAGAGTCCCTGATCAAGGCTTCCCACACAGCTCCATGCTATCCCAGCCCCTGGCGCAGTGATGGCCGTCCTGGCCCTCGTGTCTAAGGAAGCATCTTGACCGTCACAGGTAGAAAGCCTGAAAACATGAAGGGAAGGACCAAAGAAAACTGCTGGTGTTTGCTGGCCAGAGGCCAGGTCCTCAGCAAAGTGCTGGAGCCTGGTCACAAAATCCAGAAACCAACTCAGAAGCTTCCCTGCTGGCCCTGAGCCAAGTAGTTAGGTGAGACTTTGTAATCCGCACATACGTAGTGACACCAGAAACCATTTTTACCTGTCAAAGCAAGACTGAGAGCATGTCTGTATTCTCTGTGTGGAAGGCTGACTCTCAGAAAGAGCCCTTTCAGGGTAGCGGGGAGTTCTGGCACTTTCCTCCGTAAACATGGCAGGCATCTGGCAGGATCACGTAAGCTTCTGCCTTCCAGCTGCTCCCTGAACGCAGAGCAGTTTGAAACTTGGCAAGCAGTCCTTTTTCTGATCCCCTGTGAACTTGTTATGAAGGAAGATAAACACTCTGCCTACAACAATCAGTAGATAGAGAGGCTGCAACTTTACAAAGCTCCAGCCGTGGCGGTCTCTGTAGCAAAAATTCCTTTAGAAATGACCTACATTTTCCATCACATCATGGGAAAAAATTAACTTTCACACAAGATGGTAATATATTATGTATCTATTTACAAACACCTCACTTCTCCAAATTTGAAGTATTTTTAGGTTACTGAAAAAAAAGAATTAACTCTCTTGATGCCTGACAGAATAGCTTTTTATTGTCATTTTTATGACTTTTCCATGTACATAGCTCTTTAACACTCTCAAAATGGCTTCACTTGCAAACATCTTATTTGACCTTCAAAGAAATTTGTGTAGAATTGGGCAGGATTAGTAGCCCCATTTTACAGATGAGGAATCGCTAAGTCAAACAGTCTAAAACCCTTGCTGGAGGTTCCTGAAGCAGGAACCAGCAGAGCTGGAGCTGTAGTCGAGGTCTCCTGACCCTTCCCACACTACTCCTCCCTCTCTGTCCCTGGGACCATGCTTCAGTCTAGTCCATCTCTTGTTTTATTGACTACCTGCTGTGTATCAAGCACTCTGCCCGTGCTAGAGATAGAAAGACAAACTGCCTTCAGGAAGTTCATGGTTGAACAGGGAGGTAGTGGTGTCAACAGATCACGTCACTGCAGGGAACGGGTGAGGGAATGAGTGTGTAACTCTGCCCGGGGGGGCAGGTGAGTTTCCTAGAGAAGAGGACACTTGAGCTTGTGTCTTCGATGCCATTCCGTCTGACAGTGTGGGGAGGAGAGATGGGGGGACGTCCTAGCAGAGGAACACCTGCAGGAAGCCTGGGACATGGAGCGTGGTGTGTGTGGGAGCCCCACATCTAGTGGGGGACGTGTGCAGGGGTGGGGAGGAAGGAGGCTGGAGGGCAGGTGTCAGAGGGCTTTGCACCAGGCCGGGGACTCTGCCGCTGAACGTGACAGGAAGCAGTGACAGCCTGGGTCTGTGTCCTGTAACCGTTTCATGAAGCGCCCTGTAAACACACTTTCACCCTGACTTCGCCCTGTGGAGAGAGCTCAGTTCTTCTTTTGTCCCTGTGACACTGTGCTACTTAAAGTTCATCAAACAGGGGCTCCCTGGCACCTCTGCCCCTTTTCACACATTATTATCTGCCTTGAATACTCTTATTCCATCCTCAGGAAATTTTTATTTCCTTTTTCAAGACTGTGTCCTGCCACCTACAACTGTCCCATCTTTGTCCCTTAGAGCGTCCCTTGATTCCCTGACCTCCTTGAAAGTAGGAACTAGTGTTTTTCATACCTTTATCCCCAAAACCTAGCACAGTGCCTGCTACTGATTGTGACTAAGTATCAGTATTTGTTGAATGATCAAATTAATGAATGGAATTAATAGTAAATGAATGTACTTTATTAAAATTTTTAAGACACAGTGAACATTCTGATACTTCGCAGTCTTAGTCCCTTGGGGCCGCTGTAATAAATTAGGTGGCTTATAAACCAGATATGTATTGTTCACAGTTCTGAAGTAGTGCTGGTGAAGACACCAGCGAATTTGGTGTCTGATGAGGGCCTACCTCCTCATTCCTAGATCACTGTTTGCTTATTATGTCCTCACGTAGTAGAAGGGGGAGGGGTCTCTCTGGGGTCTCTTCTGTAAGGGTGCCAATCCCATCCACCCTCATGGCCTCCCAAAGGGCCTACCTCCAAACACCAACACACTGGGGATGGAGATTCAACATGAGTTTTAGGGGAATGCAAACATTCAGTCAATAGCACTTACTAAAAAAAATCAGCTCTTATTTTAAGATGTTCAGTGGAATAACAGTCCTTACGGTTTTATTAAAGAGGAGACTGACAGGTTTCCCGTTGCCTCCCTGTGTCGTAGATCCTCACTAAGGACTCAGTTACCATCAGTGTGGACGGCGTGGTCTATTACCGTGTGCAGAACGCCACCCTGGCTGTGGCAAACATCACCAACGCTGACTCGGCAACCCGTCTTTTGGCACAAACAACCCTGAGGAACGTCCTGGGCACCAAGAACCTTTCCCAGATCCTCTCTGACAGGGAGGAAATTGCACACAACATGCAGGTGAGGACCGCTGATGCGACTCAGCTGCAGGTTTGGGAAGTGAAGTATCGGGTCCATGGGCATTAGAGAACTTTTCATTAAGTCAACTTGGAGAATCACTGGCCTTTTTTTCTTCGTAGAAAACTCTCCCCAAACTTGATGGAAGGGGATTTTTTTTTCACATATAGGTTAATAACACTCCAATGCATGCATTGGTTTTTAATTCCCTCCAGTGTATATTTTTTTCCCCAAAAATTAGTGTTAGCCTTTTTCTTTCAACATAATAGTTCAGAGGCTATTCTGCAAGACAGGGCAGGTGTAGTTAGAGCCATATTCTGTGCGAGTCCTATAATTTCGTTTGTAACTCTTACCCTTTCCAATCTTGCCTTCGTAACAGATGAATCAAATCTGACTTGGTCAAAAAAGGTCAAGAACTATACATCTGAGCTGTTACTATTTGTGTAGATTTGTTTGGTCTTATGTGATACCCCCAGCAGCCATATGAAATAGAGTAGTGTGATTTCACTCCTGCCATTGTGAAGGGAGGAGGCTGAAGCACAAAGTACCACAGCTCACACAGATGCACATTAGCTCAGGAGCTCTCTAGCCACCTGTTTCAATAAGAAGTGAAGTTTTATTAGAATGCAGCCACACCCATTGATTGGTATATTATTTTCCATGGCCACTTTTAATCTGCAAGGGAGAGTTAGTTGCAACAGAGACTGAAAATCAATAATTACTGTCTAAGCCTTTTAGGGCTTCCCAGGTGGCACTAGTGGTAAGGAACCCGCCTGCCAATGCGGGAGACATAAGAATGCAGGTTCAATTCTTGGGTCAGGAAGATCCCCTGAAGAGGACATGACAACCCACCCCAGTATTCTTGCTTGGAGAACCCTATGGACAGAGGAGCCTGGTGGACTACCGTCCATTGGGTCGCAAAGATTTGGACACAGCTGAAGGAATTTAGCTCTTTTAGAAAACGTTTGCCAACCCACATCAGCTTATTAGTAGCAGAATCAAGAGCAGCTTCCCAGTAGTCCTGCCTCCCACGTCAGCCTGCGTGCCTCGGTGGGCAGCTCTCTCTCTGCAGCCCTCCACCAGCACCTCACCCACCCCAGATCCCAGCGGACACAGCTGCTTAGGCTCCTGTGAGAGGGTGAACGTTTCCAGCCAGCCTTCTCTCTTCCTAACAGAGCACCCTGGATGACGCCACTGACGACTGGGGAATAAAAGTGGAGCGAGTGGAGATCAAGGATGTGAAGCTCCCCGTGCAGCTGCAGAGAGCCATGGCTGCGGAGGCAGAGGCGTCCCGGGAGGCCCGAGCCAAGGTGGCGTTGCTGTTTTCCTGTGGTTTGCTTGTCCTGTTGAGTCTTCTTTTTAAGTATACAATGTAAAACATGCTGGTTATAAAAAATCAAAATAGTCCCAAAGTAGTAAAGATGAAAGCTCTCCTCATCACTTTACATCATATCCCCCTCCCACCAGAGGCCACCACTCTTAACAGCTTAGTGTATATGTTAATACCTCCAGATTTTCATTTGGGGTTTAGTTGACTAGGCTGTTAGTCTACTGGCTTGTTTATTTTACAGAAGTAGAGTTACAATACAAACTGCTCTTCACCTTGCTTTTATACAAACCACACCTCCTGGGAATACCAGCGCATAGATAGCTGCCTCCTTCTGCTGGAGCTGCTTATCCCCTGCGTCATTCTCCCAGTCCCCTGTTGAGGACACACGGACAGTCTGACTTCAGAGTGAGCTGCTCTTCACCTTGCTTTTATACAAACCACACCTCCCGGGAATACCAGCACATAGATAGCTGCCCCCTTCTGCTGGAGCTGCTTGTCCCCTGCGTCATTCTCCCAGTCCCCTGTTGAGGACACACTACAGTCTGACTTCAGGGTGAGCTGCTCTTCACCTTGCTTTTATACAAACCACACCTCCCGGGAATACCAGCACATAGATAGCTGCCCCCTTCTGCTGGAGCTGCTTGTCCCCTGCGTCATTCTCCCAGTCCCCTGTTGAGGACACACGGACAGTCTGACTTCAGGGTGAGCTGCTCTTCACCTTGCTTTTATACAAACCATACCTCCTGGGAATACCAGCGCATAGATAGCTGCCTCCTTCTGCTGGAGCTGCTTGTCCCCTGCGTCATTCTCCCAGTCCCCTGTTGAGGACACACGGACAGTCTGACTTCAGGGTGAGCTGCTCTTCACCTTGCTTTTATACAAACCACACTTCCTGGGAATACCAGCGCATAGATAGCTGCCTCCTTCTGCTGGAGCTGCTTGTCCCCTGCGTCATTCTCCCAGTCCCCTGTTGAGGACACACTACAGTCCGACCTCAGGGTGAGCTGCTCTTCACCTTGCTTTTATACAAACCACACCTCCCGGGAATACCAGCACATAGATAGCTGCCCCCTTCTGCTGGAGCTGCTTGTCCCCTGCGTCATTCTCCCAGTCCCCTGTTGAGGACACACGGACAGTCTGACCTCAGGGTGAGCTGCTCTCCGATCAGTTTGCGCACATTCATTCCTTCCTTACTTTTTGTCTTCTCTCTCATTCTTTTCCCAAGTTCTTCCTTCTTACGGTTTCCATCTTCCTTTCTCTGCTCTTTTTTTTCCCACTTCTTTTTCCTTGATTTCTGCTCCCCCCCCTTTTTTTTTAATCATCATCCCTGACTGTGTCTTAACCCTGCATGGGTGTGCGACATCCATGGGCGGTGCTGAGGGAATGTTTGTGAATCTGGAAAAGAAGATACGTTCAAATGAGTTCACAGGGATGTCTTACCAAACCCAGCGGTAGGAAGTCAAGTCAAGCCTCACCAGAATCAAAGCTGGAGACCAGAAGGCAGCCTCAGGGGAGGCAGGCACTCCACATCCTGGGCCACGTCTCACTGCAGACAGCTGGAGGGGGAGAAGGTCTGATTCTCAAGTGCACGTGTCTCCCAGCTGAATGCTGTGGGAAACAGACCAGCCCCCATTCCAAATTCACACCAGAGTGATTCTCTCTGATCCAGCTTTGATCAAAGATCCTAAAAAGGTCCCACAACCCCTCACCTGTGAATGGATGGAGAGAGGAGGATAGCCTTCATGGGAGCAGTTGCCATGGACGTGACAGATCTCCCAAGATACCAGCAGTGAACCAATTTGTTGTTGTTAGAAAACAGTAGCAGCTGGTGATAATTGACTCACCACAGAACCCTGCCCTTCTGTTAGGATGCCCTGTAAGCCACAGATGCTGCTGCTGCTAAGTCGCTTCAGTTATGTCTGACTCTGTGCGGCCCCATAGACGGCAGCCCACTAGGCTCCCCCGTCCCTGGGATTCTCCAGGCAAGAACACTGCAGTGGGTTGCCATTGCCTTCTCCAATGCATAAAGTGAAAAGTGAAAGTGAAGTCGCTCAGTCGTGTCCGACTCTTAGCGACCCCATGGACTGCAGCCTACCAGGCTCCTCTGTCCATGGGATTTTCCAGGCAAGAGTACTGGAGTGGGTTGCCATTGCTTTCTCTGAAGCCACAGATGGATCACTCTTAATTTTTTCAGCACCAAATAGATTCATTTGACACACCACCTCCAGAATGTTTTACTAACCAGAACTTGTAGATTTTCCTAATGTGTTAATTGGGCTTCTCAGGTGGCTCAGTGGTAAAGAATCCACCTGACAAGCAGGAGAGTCATGTTCAATCCCTGGGTCAGGAAGATCTTCTGGAGAAGGAAATGGCAACCCACTCCAGTATTCTTGCCTGGAAAAGCCCATGGACAGAGGAGCCTGGTAGGCTGCAGTCCGTGGGGTCACAGGGTTGGACACAAGTGAGCAACTAAACAACAATGTGTTAATTGATGCTTCTGATACTGCAGAACTCTCAAGTATTTTCTCTACAAACCATATTTTATTTAGAAGATTAAATTGTATCAATGAGAATGATATTCAATATGCCTCATTATAATCTAGTTATTTTGAAAATCAGGGATCCCTTTTACGTCTGTCGTTAACCAAAAGCCCTGTTTCCAAACCATGTTGAATAATAGAATTTATCATACATAGACTACACAGAACATTGGCGCCCCAAGGGTCCTCAGGGGTTTCTTCTGAAGGTGACAACTCCCTGCCCAGGTGCTGCCTGTCCCACTCCGGCTCCCATGCCGTCACTGACCACAGCGCGGCTTCGCTCTGAGCTCCGACCTCAGAATGCTGCTGAAGCGCTCCAGGTGTGCGTGTGGGCTTTCTCTTGCTTCGGTCATGTCTGGCTCTCTGCCCCGCTGTGGGCTGTGGCCTGCCAGGCTCCTCTCCTCTGTCCATGGGAGTTTTCAGGCAAGAACACTAGAGTGGGCTGCCATCTCCTCCTGCAGGGGATTTTCCCAACCCAGGGATCAAACCCACGTCTCTTGTGTCTCCTGCATTGGCAGGCAGGTTCTTTACCACTAGTGCCACCTGGGAAGCCCTGATGTACTCTAGGTAACAACCTGCAGCTGCTTGAAATTGGCCCTAAAAATGAAACTTATTTGCCATCCCACTATTCAGATGAAAATATCAAATCCCAAAAAAGTGATGTGATCTGCTCAGAATCACACAGTTGATTAGTGACCGTGGAAATCTGAATTGCTTGTGCTCCTCACTGCGTTCTTTCCAGGAAGGACTGAGCCTCCTCTGCAAACATACTCACGAGTTACGAAAGATAGCGCCTGACTTCCCTTTACAAGGAAAAATAAAGGAAGTCAAATAGAATTCTGCATTACTGGGCTCTCACTGGATCTGGCTGTCTTTAAGGGTGGGGTTAACATGCAGAATCTCAAGGAGTCTGATTCTTCCATAGAGTTCAGTTACCGTGCAACAACCACGAGGCCCAGTATTCAAGTTCTCAGGGAAATAGGGGTCACTGTTTCTTAAATAAATTGCAAAGGAAAAGATGGTGAGAGTCTATAGACTGAGACTTCAGAGAAAAATTCAAGTTAATTAGCCAGAAATGCAAACTCATGTCACAAGCAGATGCCACACTAAACATTCACTGTAACGGCTTTAAACAAGAAAGAAAGAAAAAGATCCGAGTGTGGGTGAGGGGAAGTCTCGGTGGTGAGAACATAGGTTGGTATGACAGCTCTGGACTGTCTGGCCGCATGGATCTGAGCGGAATGACTTGCTTGTTTACCAGAAGACGTGTACTGGAGTGTTCCCAGCAGCGCTTTGTAGTTAACGCTGACGAGAAATTATCCACACATCCGCTGCTAGCTGGGTGGATAATGGTTGGTTGAGATGAAGGCATCCTACGCAGCAAAGAGAATGAGCACATTAAGTGCTCACAAGCGTCATTTGAGAGAAAAGTTACAAAAGAGGACAGATTCTCCTGAACATGTTATGTTAGCGGGACCTCTTTTTAAGGTTTTCAGACCGTGACTGGAAATGTACTATTTTCTGTGCCTGCCGAGTCTCCCTGTTCTCCTTTGTCAGGATTCTCAGAAAGGTGCCTGGCATGGGCTCTCGGGCTCTCATCTCTGGGCCTAGTCGTGTGATCACCGAGCGGGTAGAGTACAGGATACAGGCCACCTTTCTCGGCCCTTCCCTCAGAGCAGCCCCCTGGGCCACAGGAGGAGACAGCAGGACCCTTCCCACAGGCCTGACAACGCCAGCTTTTGACATGACACTCTGTAAATAGGAAGTGTCGACTGACCAGGACTCCGGCGCTGCCGGCAGAAACTGCGCATGCCTACGGGTTGCCTTTGCTGCTTTCTGAGACCCTGCCCACAGCGCCCACTCAGCTTGTATTAGACACAGCTAGGGTATTGTGTTCACATCTTTGGCAGCTCGCTCAGACCAGCTTTTCTAGTAACAAAATGTGTGCCCAGCCAGGTGGGTCTGGCTTCCCAGCCGAGAGATGGTGTGTTGATTGGTAGTGGGAGCTGAGCTATCTTTGCAGTTGATCTGTGTCCAGACAGAAAAAAAAAAAAAGCGCCTCATTGGACATCTGAGATGACAGGGGAAGAGTCAGAGCCTGCTGTGCCCGCGGCAGGGTCTGCTTGTGTGTTCTGTCCGGGGCTTGCCTGGGAGACAGTTCCCAGAGCCCCTCTCAGTGTGGCTGGCACTGGTCCCTTCTCACACACCTAGGGGGACATAATGCTTTCCCTGGATAAATCCAGGGTTTTGTCCTCTAACCTGGTCCCTTCTGCCAGTAAGGCTCCTCTGTCTCACCTAACACACAGCCCAGAACCTGGACACAGTCTGTCCCCCTCGCAGCCTGCCCAGTCCACCCCACACTGTTGAGTCTCTCAACAGCCCATTTCCTCCTCCATCCCCACTGCTGGTGACTGACACCGCTCTGAAAGCTGCCCTTCTCTTCTCTTCTCTTCTCTTCTCTTCTCTTCTCTTCTCTTCTCTTATTGATGTTCTAACATCTGTTGGAGTGTGTTCTCAAACTCGCTCTGAGGCTTCCCATCACCTTCAGGATAAAGACAAACACCTGGGTCCCTGCTGCCCTTCCCGCCCTCCCCCCTTCATCCCCACCTTCCCCCTTCCCCCAGTCACTCTTCACTTCCCCCTCTGCCCTGTCCACCCCCATCTTCCCCTCTTCCTCACAGTGCTCACCCACTTACAGGTTCCTGGAACACACCAGCTTTTTTATACAGCAGTACCTTTTCATGTGTTCTGCCTAAAATATTCTTTCTCACCTCAGTCCAAACAGCAAGGCCTCCATCCTCTGTCGTTCTGCTTTGCAGAGGGCATAACCCCACCACTCCACTTTGGCAGAGACTGCTCTCCTCTCACTGCCAGCCCTGGGCCTTGGACCTGCCTCAGTTAGCGTCTGTCACGTTGGAATGAGATGGTCCGCTTCCAGGTCTGTCTCGCCTGCTTGGCCAGGAGCTGAAGGAGGTCAGGGAGCCCCTCCTCTATCCCTAGGCCCTTCACAGGTCTTGACACCTGGGAGGCCCCCCGAGTTTACTGTATAACTGAATGAAATTATACTGGTCATAAGACCATTGCTTTCAATTCTCATATTCACAGAAGTATTAAAAACCGTCATAGTACTCCCAGCTGTAGATTTACCAGTTTAATAGTTCGTTAGGATCTGTGCAGTAGTGTTTGCAGTCTTATTTTCTCTAAGAAATCCCCTGTGGGTGTCATAATTGTTATATACTGAATAAATTGCATAACATTGTAATAAAAATGTAGCATGAGAAGAAAAAAAAGAACCATTAATATTTTGAGATTCCTGTGAGAACAACCTAACTACACTTTTAAGAGGGTTATGGTATCTTTACACCTCTCCTCCTAGGATTAGGACTTAGGAATAGCTGCCTTGATTTGGCTTCTGAATCTTTTAAGAATTAGGGCATAGGTGGATCCAAAAATTAGGTCTTGTCACTTGCCCTTGCTATATAATTAGCCTCTGTTTATACACTTCAATACATAATAGACCTCTGTCTTCTTCACAATAGTCCCATGAGGTTGGTGCTATCCCATTTTAAGAATAAGAAACTGAGGCTCAGAATGTAAATAAACTTTCTGAGGACATTCAGCTAGGAAGTGTTAGGTTTGCAATTTGAGCTCAAGACCACCTAAACTCTAAACCCCTGCCCTCCCCACCTCTCCAGAAGCCTTCAAACTTTGCTCACATAATCCCTCAAAGAATTCAGAAAATCTGTGTGTCCCATTTCACATTTTGAATAGACATGTACATTTTTTCATTTTGAATGTGGATACTTACCAAACATATAAGTCCTGGCATGTTTTAAATATTGACATTTTAAGGTAAAACTGTTAACATCATTCTTTTAAATGCTTTCTGTGAAATTTAGGTAACATAATGATTCCATTCTTTATTTTATAGAATGATGAGAAAATAAACTCTTTTAATAGTTAGGAATTTTCATTTTTCCTTTTTCTCCTTGAATTTATATTTTCATTTCCCATCCCCTACAGAGTCTTTTCCTAATATATTTTGTTATGAATTATTTTATCACCCTTCTGAAACACATCTACTATATAAGTTAAAATACTTCTCAGGTTTTTCGGACTACAACCAAGGGTCTCAATAAGATGAATGAGGAATGAATTCTTGTCTTGTTGATGGCTGTTACTTATTGCTAGAATAAGGCAAGATTCAGCATCAGTTCTCTTATTTTTCATTTTTACAGGTATGAGGAGTAAGAAACCTTATTTATGTAAATAAGTACATGGAAATGGAAAGGTTTTTTTTTTTTAAGTATTTTACAATTCTTAGCACTCTCTCTGAATTTATGTGCTGAAAAATCCTATGACTTTTTTGATCTTTCATCAAAAAACATTTTTAATTATCTATGAGCTTGCAGTACAATAAGGTCCTCTTCCCTTTCTTTGAAATCAAAGAATTGGAAATCCATCTGACTTGCAAAAGGCTTTGTATCCAGTCATTGGGGTCATTCACTTTCTCAACTCCTACACAGTATTCTGAATTTTCCCTTTGTTTGATGCCCTAGAAATGAGAGAAAGACAATAAATAGTAAAAGAGGACGTCTTCTTTTTTTAAATTCTTACTGGAGTGTAGTTGCTTTATAATGTTAGTTTCTGCTGCACAGCACGGTGAATCAGTGATGTGTGTGCACGTATCCCCGCTGTTTTTTGGATTTTCTCTGCATACAGGTCACCGCAGAGCCTGGAGTCGAGTCCCTTGTGCCACACTCAGTCCCCGTTAGGTACCCATTATATCCATAGCACTGTGTCCACATCAGTCTGCACCCCCAACCCCCAGTCCATCCCCCTCCTCTAAAGAGGACGTCTTGACCTCCAGCACACACCCAGGCAAAGCAGTTACAGGGGAAAGACCACATAGAAACTGAGTGTCTGGAAACTGTTCTCCTTGGAACGGTTGTGGCCGACTCCCTGGGAAACTTTGTGTGCTGCCTGAGCTAGCTGGGCCCGAGTTTGAAGGCTGCAGCTCGACACCCAGCGTTTGCTCTGGTTTAATCTCTCCTTGCCACTGCTCCGTAGGTCATTGCGGCTGAGGGAGAAATGAACGCGTCCAGGGCTCTGAAAGAGGCCTCCATGGTCATCACCGAGTCGCCTGCTGCCCTCCAGCTGCGGTACCTTCAGACGCTGACCACCATCGCTGCCGAGAAAAACTCGACCATCATCTTCCCTCTGCCCATAGATATGTTGCAGGCTGTCATGGGGACAAAACAGTGAGCCACGGGAGCCGATCAGAGATGAGATGGGGACCAAACCAGCCTCTCACCCAGGAGGTAGTAGGGTGGGAACCTTGACATTCCCCCTCCCTTCCTTTTTCCATAGGTTGAGTGTGATATTCTTACAATATGTAGTGATCCTAGCAACAGATGAAGGTTCTTGTAAATACGACACGAGAGAGAGAGAGTGGTGATTAATGTAAGATAACCTTGCCCTAAAACATTTAAAAGTTCATATGTTTAGATTGTTCCATGATAGGTGAAGTCCATCTTCTTTCAAATTTCATTGAGTCATTCTGCACCCTCTATCAGCAGCCAGGCCAGAAGCAAGAAGATAGAGTGTCTTCCCAACCTGACACCCTGGCTAGACAAATGTTTGCAGAGAATAGTGACCTTGGGCTACACCCAGCTTCTCTGGGCCACGTGTGCCTTACTTCCGGGGAATCTTAATTAAGGAAATTTCCCTAACATCCGTCTACTTTCTAAAATCAAAGCAGGTTGCAGAATAATCCTTCCTTGAGAGGAGACGTTTTCTTGCCAGTGCCTGTCAGCACTGGAGACAAAGGTCAAGGTCAAGGGAGACGGTCACCCTGATTCTTGAGAGACTTAACCCCTTGCTTTAGAGGTCCTTTTAAAATAATGCGGGCTTTTTTTTTTAAACTTTGTTGAGCCCCTTTATGAGTAAATGATTCCTCTGTCTTTCAAACCAGCTAAATACTTGTCACAGAAGTGCTTTTTTTCTCACTTTTGCCTATTCTCATATATCAGATTCTAAATATTTGAATTTTTAAAATAAGATTCTCTCTAAGCCCTATAAATAGTTGTTTATATGCCAGTTTGAATAGCTTAAGGACTAGTGCTTGATGAGCGCATCTTTAGGAAACTTGCATTTCACTGTCTGCGTGTTGTCAAGCCTGGACGCTGTGAGCTATCTTGGTTGCCACTCATTGCGAAACAGAAGGAATCATAGTCTGTCAGGGACACTGTATCCAAGAAGCTTTGGAAAAGCACGGTCACACTGGGCATTTCTGTGCAGATGTGGGTCTTTATGTGCCTGGCCGTTTTTCTGTCTTACATGTTGATGCTGAAGGAGGAACTGGTCAGGCCTCCTGAACTGCTATAATTTTAGGAAGCATCTTCCGTTTCACAAATGCCTGTGAGGCCAGGCACCCTGGTACTGTTCCTATTGGTCTGGAAATCCGGCTGGTGACATTTGTACCACCTCCGCTCGGGAGCTGTGAGGTCACCTTTAAAAATCTAAGAATAGCAGTTTCCGTACCCAGAGTCACCCTGTGTATCTGTCCTTAGCTGGGTCACTCCGTCAGTCTTCATGAGTCCCCTCCCCAGCAGCCCATTTCCAAATTCATTTTACGAAGCCTTGAACCACCGTGGATCCAGGTCCTGGCTGAGTTCATTAGATGTATATGGAGCATTTTGACTTGGAACTCAAGCTGCATTTCTATTTTCAATTTTAAAATAATGATTTTCTCTCTTTTGTGAGGTGGCTCACCCTTGACTACTAAGGACCAGGATACAACCACATATCCTGGCTAAAAGTCTCTTCTCAGACTTAAGAGGTTCAATGCTTTCTGTTCTTTGAGTCTGTTTCCAGACACCAAACAGTCTTCACTCTTCTGCCTTGTGGGTTGTGGGTTGAAATGTAATCGCCTGGGAGGGAGGACACGTAGAAGGAGCTGTAGGATGACAGCGGACAGTGTTCGTGTGAGTTTTTTCCAGGTGGCCTCCCTCTGTGACGCTGTATGTAATAAAGTGTGCGCTTTTACTGGTTTTCTTGGGATGAGAAGCTGTTTCTTTCTGCATGTGGTGTGTGTGGATTTCGTTCTTCAGAAGTGGCACATGCGTTTCTCCAGGCCTGGACTGGCTGCTTTGGCTGCTGTGTGCTCTTCCTGGGCCAAAGGAAGAGGGGAGGCCGTGGCCCATCTGCCATCTGTCATGTCTTACTCCCTCTGGTGCCCACGCAGCTTCCCTGAGGAGTTTGAGATCCGCAAATCCTTGGCTGGTCTGATCTCCCAAACAGGACAGGACCTCACTTCCTGTCACCCAGCTAACCCACTGGCATAAACCCTGCTTAAAAAGAGGAATAAATGATATATAAAACCAGTGGGGGGGCGTTGTAAAAATCTATACCAAAGAGTTAAGGATGGATGTTTTAGGAAGACACCACATAGAAGCTTTCACTCTTTCTATATTTTAATTTTTTACAATAATCACAAATCTATCAGGAAAAGCAAATAGGGTATTTCCGTTTGCAAAACTTTAAAGAGAAAAAACAACCCCTACCCCCAAAAAAGCCATGGGTGTTACCTGTGACCTTCAACCTTTAAAGAACTGGCCTGAGGGGCTTCCCTGGTGGTCCAGTGGTGAAGAATCTGCCTTCCGACGCAGGGGATGAGCGTTCAGTCCCTAGTCCCACGTGCCGAAGAGCCCCTAAGCCCGCGGGCCACCACCACCGAGCAGCACCCCCACCCCCGGCCACAGCTGGAGAAAGCCCCGGTGCTGCAGCGAGCGCCCAGCCCGCCGCCACACACGCACGCACAGCGCGGGCGGAGGGGCTGGCCAAGCCCCTCCGCCCCCCGGAACAACAAAGGCACACACAGCCGTGCCCGACTCTGGCCCCGTGGAGGGGCCGGCCAAGCCCGTCTGTCCGCCGAAGTAACAAAATGCACGCGCAGCCGCGCCCGACTCTGCGGCCCCGTGGACTCGGGCCTGCCAAGCTCCTCTGACCGAGAAATTTTCCAGGCAAGAATACTGGCGAGGGTCTCCATTCCCTATTGCGGGGGATCTTCCCAACGCAGGGAGTGCACTTGCACTCAATGCGTCTCCTGCCCTGCAGGCGTGTTCTTCACCGCCCAGGCCCCTGAGAAACGCGGAGCAGAGGAAGAACGGCCTTGGATCAATGGCATCTGGCGCTGTGCTCAGACACGTGCATTTCATCTTCAAAACAGCTCGATGAGGTACATTTTTATCCCCGTTTTACAGATGAGGACCCTGGAGTTCAAAGTGACTTCCCCGATGTCACATGGTTACTAAGCAGCAGCTTGAGATTCAAACACGGATCTGTCTACTGTCGGAGACGCCTCGGCGTCCACTGTATCCTCACGTGATGGTGCCTGCCTCCACCACTCCCGTGTACCCACCGCCACCAACAGTCGTTTTATATGTAGATCACAACTTTTCAGCACTGTCAGGGTTCAAACTTGACTAGTGAAATTTTGCACTCATAGCCAAGCAGGCTTTAAACTCTAGTTTGGGGCTGTCAGATCTAGGCCGAAGTTCAGTCCAAGTGAAAGCAGCAGATGGGGTACTTGTAGCCGCAACATGTTACAACACACTCACCTGAGCGGGAGGAAACCGGGGTTGCACAGTCTCTGAGGTTACATGGCCTTTTAAAATATCTCTGTAATCCTCACACTGGGCTTCTTCACAGTCACTCTGCTAGGAAACAGTGAACCACCCATTTCCAAACTTCTTTTTAGCAGCAACCTCCCCCCCTGTTTTTTCAAAGGAAACTCCAATGTAAAAGAATAAATTCTCAAGTTCACATTTATAACATTTACTTAATGTCAATCAACGAGGCTGCATTGAAAAAAATTGGAATTATGAAAGGCAATTATATCCTTAAATGAGGCTCTTACCTTCAATTTCTCCATTTTGTTTCAAGTGTCTGTGATATTTGTTACCACTTTAAAAACCAAATTTCAATCAAATTGTAAAATCACTGAAGCACCTCAGTAGAATTCTATTGATCCCAGTTTTAAAATCACTGAATTTGACTTGAACCCAGGTCACAGTCCAGCTTTCATTGTAACAACTCTGGCTAGGTACTCTACAAAGACAGTATTACCATCTTGTACGTGGGAAAACTGAAGCTCACATAAATTTTCTATCCTATCCCTAGTGCCTTGCACGCTGCCTGGCATAAATATGTTACCTGTTCATCTGAATTGACCGAGATAGGATGCAGGTTCTAAGCCCAGGCCAACCTCTTTCCAGGAGATGCCCCCTTGGCACATGGGCATTTCATGGCATTTTGCAATGACTTCTCCACTGTACATGATGGAATCCACCATCTCAAAAACCATGGAAGAGAAAACTATGTGGTTGAAGCGGTAGTGTTCCTGACTCATTTTGCCTTTGAGAGAAAAAATATGGAGCTGAAGCAATTCAGTTGCCTCGGGCAACTTCCCTTCTCGGGCACTCAGGTCTCTCTGAAGCCACAGACCAGTAAACGGAAATTGGCCAGTGAACCTCCTTGAATGCCAGGAAATGGCAATGAAACCTGCAGGGCAGGTCACCTCTGTGGACCTCCCACAGGCTGCCGGGACTGGGAGCTGGCTAGACCGGCCTCTGCCTCTAAGGAAGCCCCACAAGCCCAGGTGGCAAAGGCCCCTTTGTTCCAGAATTTCGCATTTGTCATGTTGATAGCTTCGACCCTGAAATGGGCCTTCTGGAATAAAGGCAGGCATTACAAGGCCAAGTCCAACCCCTCACTAGGACTTTGAGGCCCTCTGTGAATTCCTGGCTCTCCGTCTTCTGCCCTAGCCTCTCCGCCCCCCCCCCCCCCCCCCCGCCCCGCACCCCTCGCCTGCAACTCCTTCTGTTTGTCCCTGAGCTCAGCAGCATCCCTCCGGCTGTGTCTCTGGGCTGCTGCGCACCCTGCCTCAGACCGTGAAGAATCTGCCCACAATGTGGGTTCCATCCCTGGGTTGGAAAGATCCCCTGGAGGAGGAAATGGCAACCCACCCCAGTATCCTTCCCTGGAGAATCCCCATGGACAGAGGAGCCTGGCGGGCTACAGTCCACGGGTTGCAAAGAGTCGGACATGACTGAGCGACCAAGCACCCCACACAACATGACTGCCTGACATGACATTACCCACTTCCCACCCCGCCTCTGTTTCCACCTGGAAAATTCCTTCCCCACTACATTCGTCACTTCTGTGATGAATCAGACTCTCTGCAGGTAGGGCTCCCTCCAGGGAATTCTACACTTTTAAAAAGCTCCCTGGCCAATTTGGCGGATCAGCCAGCCAGCTTTGGAAACAATGGTGTAAACACACACACAGACACCCACAGACACACACATGCCCTTCCCACCACAGACACCCTCACACCGCCTTCTGTTCTTCCACATCCTCTGCAGGGGGGTGTTCATTCTGTAACTTGATAGGGATGGGGGCGAGGGAGGTGTCGGGGAACAAAAGAGAGGAAGACACCAGAGAAAAGACCGGAAGCAGGGAGGGGAGCAGCTCTTTGGGCTGATCTGGGATCTCCATGGAGAAAAGGTTTAGAGGCACAAGTTCATGGAAATTAGTAGGGACTGTTGGGGGAGGGTGTGATCTCATCACAACAAAAATTTGAAGTGACGGACGCTGAAGCCCTCAGTGCGTCACAGCTCTCGGACGGTGTTACAGCGCCCTGTTACAGCTCAGCCTTACTGAGAAAATAAAGGAAAAGACATCCTCGTGGCCTGAGGGCGTGCCGACCCAAAAGATGCAAAGAGAAGAGAGAGGGAGAGAGGGAGAGTGCGTGCACGCCCCGGCCCTTTGGCTCCACTTTTTCCACATTTTCCCTCCCCCTGGGCCTGCCCCACGTCAACCGGCTAGGCGGGAGTGCTGTCTGCTCTACCTGAGGTCCTCACTGCCGGCCTGGACCTTCCTTTGTGCTATTTTCAAGGGCTTTTCCCTTCCTCGTCTTTTAGCCACCGCCCTTCTGGACTCCTGTTTCCTACTCTCACCGCCTAACAGGACGTTGTGACAAGCTGAGCATGAGCAAAGAGTCAGGGTCTGGGGGACCAAAAGGGGCACAAACGCCCTCACCCACGGTGCAAACTTCAAGAGCATCCGGGGTACCTCCTGTCAGCAGAAACTCTCGTGGCAAGCAGGGGAAACGAGGAAGAGTCAGGCAGATGCCCCAGGGCAGGGCATCCTGCCCGCTTCCTACCCCCGGGAATGTAAGTGACTCTAGGATCCCGCTGCTGGCCTTGAACTCTTTGCCCCCAGTGCTCCAAGGCCATGCCTCCCAACAACTGACCAAAGTGGGGGATTAGACACACTTCATCCGCTCCTGGGAGACTTTCAACGCCTCTGTTGGCTGATGGGCTCCAGAACATTCTGAATCAAAATAATTGTACACCAATGTTCAGAGTAGCACTTTTTAAAAAAAAAATATCTATTTATTTGACTGCATCAACCCTCAGTTGCGGCACACGGGATCTTAGTTGCCCTGCGGCATCCCTGACCCAGGGATTGAACCTGCGTCCCCTGCATTGAAGATGAATTCTTAACCACTGGACTACCAGGGAAGACCCCCAGTAGCATTATCCACAGCAGCCAAAAGGTAGAAAGGATCTGAGTGTCCATCGATGGATGAAAGGATAAACGAAATGGTATATATACACACACAGTGGAAGAGTATTCAGTCACAAAAAGGAATGCAATTACTTTATGGGCTGTAAAATGTATGAATCTTGAAAACATTAAGCTAAGTGAAATAAGCCAGACAGAAGAGAAATGCATGATTCAACTTCTATCAGGTACCTAGAACCGGCAAATTCATGGAGACAGAAAGTGGAATAAAGGTTACCAGGGCAGATGGGAAGTAGGAAGGGGGAAGGAGTTCTTGTCTCATGGGCACAGGGTGTAAATCTAAGTTGGGGATTATGAAAAAGTTTTGGGTGGAGATGGTGGGGACAGGTCCACAACACTGGCAGTGTATCTAATGCTACTGAATTGTACATTTGCACATGATCAAAATGATAAACCAACAACAAAAATGGGACTATGCCATTACATTTTTTTTTCTTTTTTTACTTTGGCTCCGGACTCCCCAGAAGCTATGCAAAAGCCTCCTGCACTGCAGGGCGGTCTAAGATGCGTCCACCCAACCCCTCTTCCTCCCTGCTTCACATGGGGTCAGACTGGCAACTGTCTGAAGGCTCTCCAGCCTTCCCTGGTTGCCTCTCCATCTCCTTCCATACAAGCACTCTTCCCCTAGTCCAATCTCTGCCCATTCCATCTCGTCTTGGCCTCTGCTTCTTGGAGGGTCAGATTTATATGCGGG